CACCCCCAATCATCCTGTGAAGTCAGATTTTGAATTACTTTTCTGGTTTGAAAGTTATCGTGTTAACAAATTTTTGCGTACAGCGTACAGGGTACATTCGGACATCGAAAAAACGCTAGATTCGTGTTTCCTGGCCCCGAAAACATCTTTGTGAGGGTGTTAATTTTTCCACCGATTCCAATACTTTACCCTACACACTACTGTGTGCGGAAAAGTAAAATGACCACACATTTGAAAGAAACATTTGCAAACAGAATACTGGATAATTGAGATTTGGTAGTAGTAGCGGAGAGATGAGCATTGCAATAAAATGAATGATGATGAATGATTCAGTATTTTAATGATTCAAGAGATTCAAATTTGAATAATTATGTTTCAATCATGTTACTATTTATAAAATAATCCTATATAATTGTTTTTTTCTTGTCGCTTTAGGTTCGGCCACTAATCAAGAGCCATCTGATCCGAAAATCTTACAAATGGTGCTACAGGGATGCATTGGTACAACGGTCAATCAAGGTCCAATGGAAATGGCATCAGTATTTTTATCTGGTTTGGCCGATGGTACTACGACCCCTACGAAACACCAAAACAAACTACGATTGTGCTTTAAAGACTTCTCGAAAAAATGTCACGACGCATTGAAAAAGAACAAAAATCTCATTACGGCCGATCAAAAAGACTATCAAAAAGAATTGGAACGAAATTATGCAAGATTTACCGAACGCTTGGCACCTTTGATTACTATTTCACCGGGACAGACACAGGGAGTAGTGAAGTATGTGTGATTTTGTTTTGTAAAACTTTTAAATCAAAATTGCAAACACGCTGGCAAACATTATATTTCTATAACATTTATTTTCGTTTGCTTTTTTCTTTAGTTCGAATGGTTTCAGCAATAACAACAAATTCACACCATTACCGTGGTGATAACTTGCAAGAGACAATCGAAAACCTGTTGTTTTTATTCAAATAAATTCAATAAGACGTATTAGAATCAAATGACGTCAATATTCTCGTTTGGTTCAAGTTTGATTATTTTACAACGTTTACATTCTTCTTCTTTTGAGTTGAATGTCTTGTATTTCACACGAATTACGAGAATTAATGTCATTCCCCTTTTGTTTATATCAGTACCAAGAAAGAAATTATTACTTATTTTAATATGTTCAGAATATACGACATTTATCCGAACCATTCCACTTTTTTTGAAAATTTACCAATAAACATGATAAATTTGCCGGTTCAAATCATTTTAACTATTCAGCTTGTATCCAAGGACAAATTTTATATTAAGATTAACTTCCATAATAAATTATGTATAGGTATACGCTATGAACGAGTTTCATTTCAGAGATCTTCAAAACAATTTCAGTGGTATTCTGCGCATTTGCGGTAAAATTTGTTAGTTCCGGTATAAAAAATGTGTTTATTTCAATTTTTCACAATAATTTTTTCGATTTATTTACGTTTCTTTTTTAATTAAATTAAAATAGTAACTAATTTTCCTGTTCAATGTATTTAGTTTGTTTAGTGGTGTAAAATAATTCATGTGTTTTTGGTTGAAATACACACTCTTCCAAAAATAGCTTATCATCACACTTCTCCTCATGTTTCCAAACTCCAATTCACTGCGTCTTATAAAATTTTATATGCTTACAAATCAGACGTATCCAATACCGCATCTATAAACGTATACCTGGGTTTGTGGCGGCAACATAGCTGTCGATTGCAAGATAGGAAAATATATAGTGAGTTAACAAATGATATTTATCTATCATAACATACTTGAGAAGCTCATCGGAATCTTCGCAAATAACCGGTTTTTCGTGGTAACAGGCAACATCGTGCCATGCAATGCCATCATTATAAACGTTATTAAGTACCGATAAACATGATTCAGTGGTTTGATTGATGTCATATTCGGCGTTATCAGGTTGTGGAATTTTTTTATGTCCTGTTTGCGACCATGGATTGTAGCCCCATCCGCTTGGGATACGATTAGTTGGTTCACTGCAAAAGTCACAATATTGTTTAATAAATAAAAATGACTGCACCTTACAGCGTGCTTTCAGTAGTTAATTTGAATAAATAAATATAGTAGAAGTAGTTTACTATTGTGTCCAAAAAATACATATAATTAAAAAAAAGAAACTGCAAATGGATCTTCATCACTTCTTTTACGGCTGAAAAGGTACCACACATCTTTGTTAAGTTTCAACATGGTGTGATTATCACTTTTAGTCATATGCCTACCTATTCAATCACACCTCAAACGACATTTAGCGATTTGTATTTTTTGAGTTTCTTTTATATCACAACATTGCTTCAATTCTAGCCAATCTCTAGTCCGCAGAGCCCTTATTATTTACCCAAAATCCGAGTGTAAATAGCCAGTGTCATCCCCTTTCTACGAGTTATTCTAAAACCACGTTGTAAAATTAAAATTTTAATTATCCGTCGTTTAAGTGTAAATAGAATAATTTGCTCTTTACACACACCAGTCAAAGAGTCATATTTTCTATTATGTTCATCGTTGGTTGCGTTTCACTTTTCCGCACAATGGGTCAAAAATATGTTTTCTGGACGTTTTTTCGACACTTCAAAATTATGTTTTCTGGACGTTTCTGAGGTAAGAGAACCCGAATCAGGCCTTTTTGAGCATGGTTGTTGTGGGTCTGTTCCACGTCGTACGTCGTACGTTGTCCGCAGTACGCAAAATTTGTCCATCAATTATCTCAGCCCCCAAAAAAGTTATTTAAAATATGACTGTACAGGATCATTGAGAGTCGCAAGGTATAGAAATCATTACATTTTGAGCGACTTTGGTTGATGGAGAAAAATTTCATGCCTGGAGTGATACCTATGAAAAAGAGTCCAATTTTCGTCCAAAAGTCATACTTAATGTAGACTTAAACAATCAAAAATATGTATTGGGGGGTTTTTTGGCACGAGAAAACCGAATCCGAGGTCAATTTTGAGATACAATTAAGTTTTAACAGAGTTTCTTTGAAAAAATCGCGAAAAATTTAATTTTTGTATAGGAGCCATGCTTTTATGCTACCTTAATGACGTGTAACTTTGCACAGACTTCTTTTTTACACAAAAAAATAACATTCTGAAAGTTTGAAGAGATTTAAATCAAAATTAGGGGTACCTCCCATACAAAATGTTCCGAATGCTATTTTTTTGTGAAAAAAATAACATGTGCAAAGTTTCACTACATTAAGGTAGCATATAGACATGGCTGAATACAAAAATCCAAATTTTTTGTGACTTTAAATATAAATAAAATGTCTTACATCCGTAAGATGAACTTTTCCGCACTGTGATCCACAACATGCATTTATTACAAATCTTTTAATCAAAGAATTCACGAGAAAACTGAATCTGACATTAGTTTTACGATACAAATAATTTTTCGAAGCACTTTTCATACAAATACTACTGAAAATGGGATTTTTTTGTATCGCAGCCATGCCTATATGATATCGTAAACATGTGAAAATTTGCGGAGGTAATTTTTTTTTTACAAGAAGCTAACATTCTGAAAGTTTGAAGAAATTTCAATGCATATTAAGGGTACTTCCCATTTAAAATTTCGTTTTACAGCGAAAAATCCAAAATTTTGTTCGGGAGGTACCCTTAATATACGTTGAAATGTCTTCAATGTCTTGGAATGGTATTTTTGTGTGATAAAAATAGCCTGTGCAAAGTTTCAGCTGATTACGATATCATACAGGCATGGCTTTCATACAAAAATCCAAAATTTTTGAAATTTTTGTATGAAAATTGTGTCGAAAATCATTTGTATCGCAAAACTTACGTCATATTCGGTTTTCTCGTACCAAAAAACCCTCCAATACATATTTTTGAGTGTTTAGGAATACATTAAATATCATTTTTGGAAGAAAAATTGAATTTTTACCCATGGATGGCCATGGGCATCACACCAGACATGACACTTCACTCTATCAACCAAATTCGCTCGAAATCTAATGGTTTTTATTCCTCGGCACCCCCAATCATCCTGTGAAGTCAGATTTTGAATTACTTTTCTGGTTTGAAAGTTATCGTGTTAACAAATTTTTTCATACAGCGTACAGGGTACAGGGTACGCACATACATTCGGACATAGAAAATAAAGAGGCTTACGTACGCAAGCTGACTTTTCCGCATGGAACCGAAATTTTGGGAATAAACAGAAATGATGGTCTATGTATGGTTGCAGTAACTTAAATTACCGTGAAAACTTGTGAATATTATTTTCTTATCAAAATAAATAATCATACTAAGTCTAAAGAAATTTCAATCCAAAAAATAGCCTGTTCAAAGTTTCACATCATTACAGTACCATAAGGCAAGTCTTTCATACAAAAATGATTTTTTTTTTCGATTTTTGTATGAAAAGTCTGTGAAAAATTGATTGCATCTTAAAACTAACATCAGATTCGGGTTTCTCGTGCCAAAAACCCCCACTACACAGTCTTTCAGCGTTCAAATTGAAAGAATATCATTTTAAGGCATTTTTCTCATAAGTGCCTCTTCACAGTCTAAGTTTTACATCGATCAATCAATGTCGTTGAAAATTTGACCAGATCTATTCCTCGTAACGCCCAATCATCCCGTAAAGTCAGATTTTGAATTTCATGTCTGAGCAGTGAGCACGAAACCATCGTGTCACCAAAATGGTTGAAAAATGATCAAAAAAGTAAAATGTATGGATTGTGTCCATTCGGACCCAAAAAAATTACACCGGTCAACAGATATTGCTCAAAAACCAATCAGCACGTCTCCTAGTAGTCCCAAATCATCCTGCAAAGTCAGAATTTGAATTGAGTTTTTGGAAAAAGATTTATCGAGTTAACAAATTTTGGCAACACGCCACAGGACACAGGACACAGGACACACCACACACAGCGACGCACATTTATATGCCCCAAAATCATCTCCAATCGTGTTTTCCACATTAAGTATGCATAGAAAACATGTTTTGGGATGAATTTAATTTGTTGGCCTAATACAATACCTTCCCTACACTAGGTGTGCGGAAAAGTAAAACGCTAGACTCGTGTTCTTTGGCTCTTAAAACACCCAGAAAACATGTTTTTTATTGTAATAATAATAACTGCACCGAACAGCGTTCCTTCGCCTTGGTGGTTTATTGAATATATTTCAAATAAATACAAAATAATTTTATTCTTACATCTAGTAGTTTTGAAGGAGATTAATAATTTTTTTCAGTGTATTTTCTATTCAATTCTATCTATTTTGTTTTAAATATTTTTCAATTCTCAGTCTGACCGTTGATAAATTTACTTCTAAATCAATAAAAGTAGAATCACTGTTTGGTATTATTTCGTATAATAATCATTGAATGTAGTAAGCATGTAATTAATTGGTTCATATTTCGTGTAATCGCTTCTTCTAATCGGTATATCAAAAAGCGGCGTTGCACGGGTATTTTGCGCTGAATCATAATAATTTAAACTGTTTGATATATGGCTCGACTTCATATCTCCATTAATTATTTTGAATATAAAAGACACCTGCGCCATCTCGCGTCTCTCCTCAAGCGTAATCATTTGTAGAAACAGGAGTCTATGCTCATATTTAGGAAGTCTATAGCTGTCCCAGTTCATTCTCCTTAGCGCATAAAGTAAAAATTGTTTTTGTACTGACTCTAGTTTTTTGCACATATTGTCGTAGTGTGGATTCCATATTTCTGATCTATATTCTATAATTGATAATACAAATGTAAAATAAAGGCGTTTAATTGTCCAGGGGTCAATAAAATCCTTGCTGTAGAACTTTAGCCAAGCCAATCTTGATTTTGCTTTAGCCGTGACATGCTCAATGTGTGATTTGAAATTCATTTGCACATCAAGCAACACACCCAAGTCCCTTATTACAAAGACTCTTTCTATTTGAACGCCGCCTATGTTGTATTTGTATTCATATTGCAGTGATCCCCGATGATATGTTATGATCTTTGTTTTGTTTACATTTAATTTCAATAAATTGCGTCCATAATAATCTGCTACACGATCCAAGTCGTTCTGTAGATTAATGCAATCATCTGTTGAGGAGATACATTTCGAAATTTTTGTATCATCAGCGAATGAAAGTATAAAAGAATCGCTAACGACGAATGGTAGATCAATAACAAACATGATGAACAAAGTAGCGCCAATTGGATATCCTTGACCCGTCCCAGATGTAACTTTGATTGGGTCAGATTTGGTATCTGCTATCTTTACAATTTGTCTGCGACCAGACAAGTAAGATTCGATCCATTGTTACAGCTGCTCATTCAGTCCCATGATTTCTAGTTTTTGAATAAGCAATTTTAAGTTGACCAAGTCAAAAGCCTTGGCTATGTCCAAATGGATGGCGTCTGTTTGATGTCCCCTCCCCATGTTATTAATTGTTTTTGAAGTAAATTCAACTAAATTTGTTATCGTTGACCTGTTCTTGATGAATCCATTCGTGGATTATGTTTTTCAAATATAGATTGAGATGGTTTGTGACGATCGAATGGAGAATTTTTGACAAAATACACTGTAAAGCAACACCCCGGTAATTTTGAACGTTGTTTCTATCGCCGTTTTTGTAGACTGGTCTGACAAATGACGTTCTCCATATCTGCGGGACAGAGGCAGTTTCAAGTGATTCCTTTAACAGTGTTGAGATTGGCCCCTGCAATGAAACCAAACAATGCTTGATAAATTTGTTTGGAATTTCATCAGGACCACAGACAAGATCATCTGGCAGTATGCTTATATGTTGACCTACAAGTTCCTCGGTTATTTCGATCATTGTTATTTCAGCACAAATACTACGAATTTTTTCTATTTCCGAGCTGTCATATCGCAGATCACCTTCTAAAGAGCTGTAGGCATTGCTAAAGTGTTTTGCAAAAAAACTAGAAATTGTTGATTGATCGCTTGCTTTTTCATTTAAATAAGTCATCTCATGTGGTAGATCTTCACATTTCCTTTTTTTGAAATTCACGTGTTTGAAGAATTTCTTAGGATCTTCATCTATCTGCTTCTCCATCTCAATTCTATAATCTTTGATAGGTGAACGCGCACAGCGTTTGAATTCTCTTCTTATTTCCTTATAATAATTTATTGATTCAATTGTGTTGAGTAATTTTTTATTTTGATGCGCTTTGCTGACTTTGTTCTTCAACTCTACCATTGACTTGTTAAACCACATCGGTTGTTTTCTGATGATTTTTGTTTT